GTTCGATGGGCGGTGGCGACTTGGTGACTTTGGCAATTAGCTTTCTATCTCTTTCTATTCCGTAAGTCTCTGCTTCTTCCTTTTGTAGAAAAGAAACCTCCCGACCACGAGCTGAAGCAGAGCGGTCAACGACGCAAAAACCTCTAGGCTCTTGGACCATCAGTCTCGATGAGTCTCGCTAGGCGCTCACTGAAGCAAGGTCGAAAGAGTTGAGCGCCCGGATGCCCAGTTTCTGATGAAAAACCGGGAGTGAAAAACAGGCGAAATGTCGTAGAAAACAAGAATCGCTGAGTCTCTGAGGATAAGAATTTGGCACCACAGTCGCTGAGTCTCGGGAAGAGTGAAGCAGCAAAATACATTTTGAATGCTATGGAATGACAGTGCAACAGAATACAACAGACCAATAAGGCTCCCTGGTTTTGACCCACAGGCTGAAGCCATGCCTTGTCCACAGCCTTCGGTTCACAGAAGCTGAGGCTGCTGACCTCCGCCTGCAGCAGGCACTCGAGACAGAGCAGCAGGCGAGATCTCAACTCCCTTTTGCAAAGCATATCCAGAACGTGTCATAATACAACACACCTCCACAACAAGCCTGTAGCAGCTAGCAAGAGCGCAAACATACCTCTTCCGGAAGCTAAGACGGAGCCGTTCCTACCACTGGGAGCGCACACGACACCCTTCCAATGCCAACCATGACACCCTTCTGCGTTCAGTGCTCGAGAGCCGCAGGCTCGACGGGATGCCGAAGCACAGGTGCTGCGGAGCTTTGATGAGCGGACCGCGGTGCTGCGGGAGGACGGAGTACAATAAGAAAGGTGAACGGTGTTTAAAGGTTTTCAGTTCTGCAAATCTATATAATCAGATCTAAACAAACCCTTTAAACCTTTGCCGAGAGAAAAGTGGATTCAGCCCACCGCATGAAAGATGCCTTTTCTCTCTGCCAGGGCAAGTCTACCAGTTTGATGTTAGTTTTTGGGTCAATCAACCCGATCGAAACAAATGAGTTGTTCAAACAACCCATGAAACACTTCACAACTGTCAACATGGACCTTCTTTGAAACGAACATTTCTATGGCTACTGAAGACATGCACACGGAGGCAATCCTGAGGCAGCCTGCAACAACTCGGTCGTCTCCAGCACTGAGCAGGCACGAGTTGCCGAAGTGACAAATCCATTCTCCCAGGAGATTGCAAAGGAGGGCCGCTCCAGGGTAGCGGCCTTGGTGTTTGGCGTCAGCTGCCACTTGATGCTTTGGGCATGCCGAGGCCGAGGCCGAAGCAGCGCTCCGACGATATGTGCGGGCCGTCAGAGGACCGGGATCAAGGAAAGCCATAAAGCTTGTGACCACAGCGTTCAAGCACTTGACAAATGTATGTCAAGCCTCCACCTGCAGTGTTTCCCATAAGGTCGATGTTGATATCCCCAAGCTCTATGAGAGCTTGCGTGATGCCTGCACCTTAGAAGCCGTCCCGAAGCCGTCCCTGAGGTCGATTCTCGCTTTCATTCGATTTGGAGTAGGGCATTACATGGGCGTTACTAGTAGCCTGCAACGCACCTGCAACTCATTCGTTCTCGAACGAACAAGAACAAGGGGCCGAGGGGCCAACTCCCTTTCGAATGGGTACTACAGTTCAATCGATGTTCTGACACGAACTTATCTTGGTTCATCGCTCGAAGCCCAGAAGGGCCTAGGGCCCAAGGGTTGTACCAGCGTCCTGGTCCTCCACTTGCCGAGAATCTGTGGCTCCGATCAAACCTCGTGTGCAGTCACTTCTCAGCATGCCTGCAGTGCTTTGCAAGGAAGCACAATCCAGAGAGACCATGGAAGATAGGATCGTGAGGCAAAGTGGGGTTGCTTGGCTTCATGTTTGATTCGAGATACGAAGATTTTGTTTATCAGTAGTTTAATGTAGTTTACAACAAGATCCGGAATCACTGGAACGGACGCTGATACTCAGAGACCGACGTTCTGAGACCGTCGTTCTGCAAGTTCTGAATCCATTCTGCCCCGACGAGAGGCGGGCATCTGACGAGATCAACCGGCTCCAAGAGGCACACGGCGAGTTTGGGATTTGGATTCGAACGTCGAGACCGTCCTCGCACCTTGGCCAGTACAGCCTCAGAATGTTGGTCCTCAAGTCCCCCAATGCATTGTACATTAGTCGGTACAATCATCCTGATGAGAAGGAGTCTGATATTGTTATGATGTACGCTAAAGCTAGTTCTGATGACACAGCAAAACATAAAAAAATGCATAAACAATGCAAAAAAGATGCAAAACAAATGCAATGAAAAACCACAACAAATGCGATCAAAAACGTTCTGGTCTTTGCCTTTGCTTTTTTTTTGCTTTGTATTCTTTTTTTTTGGGCATTTTTTGTGCGTTTCCTTGAGACAACGCAAAAACAAAATCGCAAAACATTGCAAAACAAGTGCACAAAAAATGCAAACAAAATACTCGCACATAAAACGCACAAACATCGAACACATATCGCACAAAAAAGGTGGTGTGTGAAATTTGGTTGTGCATGTGCATTTTTTGTGCGTTTTGTTTGCTTTTGTTTTGCGTTTTTTAAACTGTTGTTTTGCGTTTGATTTTTTGCTTTTTGATATGCAATCTTTTTGACCAGCTGCCTTTTTTTTGCTTTTTTACGCACTTCTTTTGCATTTCCTGGTCATCATATGTGAGTGTGGTTTTGCATATTTTTTGCTTTTTTATGAATCCTTGAGATTTCAGAGTTAGGCTGTAAGGTACATCATAATGATATTGCCTACGTGAGCATGTTGGTTCTTTCTGCTGCTTGGCCTGGCTGGTCAGGCGATCCTGACAGAGAAGAAAGCGCGAGAGGACACTGAAGAAGCTCTCCTGAGGATGATGGAGGACAGGATGATTCATGATGATTCTCTGCGATGCCATGGTGCCACTGTGGGGGAGGAGTTTTTCGTGTTCATTTGTTGTCCGCGGCAGGGTTTTTGTATTGTGTTGTCTTCAGGACACAGTGGCAAAGATGAGAGCAGAGATCGCACAGGAGCCTTACATACCAAGATCAATCTCAAGCATCTGACAATGTCCCATCGGCCAAGGTTCAGTATGTGTCTATTGAGACGTTTTTCTCATTGCCTTTGTGTTCATGGACATGGTCCCACTCATGCATGTCGTTTAAAACCTGGATGGCGCTCAGCCACGTTTGACTTCAGCTTTATTCAGCTTTACGTAGCCTCTCTGAGGAGAGGGCTGATCGAGAAACCACTGAAGAGACCCTCCTGAAATTGCTCGAGGCGAGAGATTTTGCCTTGTACATGCTAGGTAGATAGCACTCACCCTGTCAAGCTTCAACATTCGGCTTCTCCGGGTTTCGGCTTCAATCTATTTAAAATGTGAGTTGAGTGAGTTGAGTCTTTCCATTCAGCCGGCTGTCTTCTTTGCACTTCTGAGAGCTCCAAGACCATTCTCACTCAGTTTTATGTGCGTGGCGCGGCCGCGTTTTCAAGCAGGAGACCTGCAACAAGCTCAACACGGCTTCCCAAGTTCTCTGAGGGAAGCGACATGTCCAATGTGATCCACTGATCCGATCTGGTCCGTTATGCAAACCAGGTTTGCAGCATGTCACCGGAGGGATTCCTCCGAGTGGTCGAGCAATGACTTGGATTACAATCTCATTGTCTTAATGAAGGGATGTGGCGAGCCTGCAAATGGGGTGATGCACGCTCGTGTGTGCAAGCTTCACTGAAACTGCAAGCTTGGGCACTCAAAATCAGCGCGCCACGTGCTACTTGAAGCATTTTGGAGCTTTTAGAGGTTTATAATGTTTATATATAATTATATATATATAGACATATTTGTTGAATGGAGATTTATTTTTTCCATCTTGTGGGGAAGCATGTATCTTGAATCAAGTCGACTCTTGTGTGGTCTTGCGTCGTCAGTATTCTCCAGGAAGAAGGAATGGACCAGCAAAAGAATGGCACTGTTGGACCTGCGGTCAAAGTTGAAGAGGAGTCTTAGAGAAAGAGCTTTAATGCAGCCGTATCTCGCAAGCAGCAAAGGAAGGCCCCTTGAAGGAAGAAGACTTTGCCCCTTGCTGGAGCCTCCACTCCTTAACTGATCCACTGAAATTATCATGCAGGCCAATCCATAGATATATATATATATATACACAATCACGCACACCTCTATATAATGTTAGCAAATGACTGACACAGCCTGAGAGACGCCATGTGTGCACATGACCACCACATCTGTCCTGGATGTCAGCCCCAGACTCAGCTTGGTCTTGCAATCAATTGCTCTTCTTGATCGGCACACTTTTGGGAATACAGTTGAGAACAAAGTCCCTATGGATCTCGTGTGAGGGATCGTCAGCCTGCATGGGCCATGTCTGGAATGACCGCCCTCATCCAATTTGATCAGGAAGGGCATGGGTACGCGACTCTAAGCGAATCTCGTTTAACAAGAGATGCTTCTCAGATCCGCCGCCGTATGGCTAGAAATGTGGGTCTTCATTCAGACAGGTGTTTCTCATGGGATCAAATCCATGAGACTTGTTTCTTTCATTAAAGCGAGTAGACCAAAGCTGAGATCAGCAGAGATCCTTTGGGTGAGGTCGAGGTGCGCTGAACTTCGGCGATGAGACCCTCTACTTGGCCGCAGCCCCGCAGGGAACAGTCCGGAACAGTGGAACGAACCCATTGTCAAGTCTTCAAAGCTTTCAGCTTGGCGGTTGAAATCAATAACTTGAGGCAGTCTTGAAGGACTACTCTCAAGAGCTACTGGCGTCGGTGCCTTGCAGAACTCGTCCTGCCCAAAACTAGCTCAGTTCTGGCTCTTGGTGTAGTTGGGCAAGCGTTTGATGCAAAGTCAGCTAACTTGAGATCTTAACACGTGTGTTTGTCATTCCCCAAATTTGGACCACTCATCCCGCCCGCTCCACGATTTTGGGCGGATTCTTTGACAGGTGCATCGCATTGAGTCCATCAGCGACAAAACCGCGCACGGGGTCGCAGTTTGTCCTGATTTTCCAGCTTGTGCTTTTTACTTGCTCTTTGGAACTACTAGAGCCTCTAGTGACTCTAGTCTAATTAGTAGATCCTAAACCCGAGATGGCAGCCTTTTGAACATTTGAGAAGCCTTTGTTGCATGACTCTTTGCTTCGAGAAGATGTGTTCAAATGAAAGTGGTGGTACAGTCAAGCCAGTTGATCTGGAACTTGTACAGCTTCCGCCATGTAGATTCTGGCCGATCCAGACTTACCCAGAACCAGGAGCAGTCTGCATGTCGGAAGACTTGCAACTGCCACCAGGGCTTGAGGTACCTGAAGACCGGCGGCCTCAGCGACCTCCGCTTCTTCAGCGGACAGGTGAAGAGCAAGAAGCCTTGCCACACAGCGAGCACTTTTGCAGATCTGCAGATGCTGAGTTCTGGACGGATGAATTTGGACTCCATCCGAATAGCTCCCTTTGGTCGAAGTCGAGGATAATGATGATCAGGAACATACCAGCAAGATGTACTGAGCAAGAGATGGTTGACCTGATCAGCACCATTGCCTCAAACTTTACTCTGGAGATGCCCAGGATATTTGGACAAGCTCTTTTGGGCAAATAGATTTTCAACAGCTATTCACATGTTTTGCTTTCTGAAGAATAGTGTCTTGTAGACCTGTAGACGCCCAACTAGTATGATCAGACCTGATTGCACCGCCAGGACTTCCAATCGCAAGTGCAAAGGCTATGCATTCCTGAGGGTCCATGAGGATGATTTGATGCAGCAGCTTGCGGCCTTCTTTTGGCAGCGGCAGCTCCCCACGCGGAACAGCATGCGGCCCTTGAAGATCCACCCAGCTGAGAACGTCAGATAGTGTGATTTGGCAGGGAACTCGCAGGGACCCAAGGTAATATCCTGGACCACCTGCAAGCAACCTGCGTCAAATTTGGGCTGTCGATTCTTTCTTTTTCAATAGCTCTTCCGACAATTGAGGTAGCACTTCGCTGCTGGTATAAGGTAAGAAAAACCTGTCCTCAATGTGTCGTCACGGTCAGGCGCTCACACCATGGTCATGGCACTAGTCACTAGTGCACTCTCAGTACTGGGAGATATGATTGGCGTTGACCGCGACAGTATTATAGTATGCATTATAATATGTATTCTGCTGTGTGGGCCTAAGAGGGACCATTTATTGGTGAGCTGTAAGAAGAGTGCACGGCTCGGTGTTCCAGACGTTTGGTATTTGCCCCAAGGCAGGAAATAGATCACTCAGGGCTTGCAAGGACCTTGCACTCTCTAGCTCTCATTCAAAAGGATAGCTGATAGCTCTCCTGATTGTGCCAGCGAAGCTTCATACGGAGGATCACTTGTACGGCAGATCCAAACCAAGCAACAAGAAGGTACTGGCACAAGACTTGCCTAGCCATCTGTTTTTGGAACAGGAATCCAAGAACGGGCTCTTGGCCCATCAATCGATGGGGTGGACATAATTCACTCTGGCTTGCAAATGCTCAAGTCACAGACTCATCACGCTTTTTTTGATGTGGAAAGATCTGTGCAATTTTTTTCGTGCGTCGCGAGTCGCCCCGTGGCAGAAGATAAGATGGTAACATCATTTTGCACTGAAAGAGAACCCTTGCCCTTCCTCACTACCACTGCTTTTGCGAACAAGATCACAATAACTTTTCAGTCGGGTTTGAATGCCTTCCAGCAGCAGCCCATGCCCCCACATTCCTTGCACCTTCCTCGTGTCGATTTTTGGATCAAGGCTGAAGGATGAGGTGGCGTTGCTTCGAGCCTCGGCCTCGCGCGGAGGCTTATGGAGTGTGAACATCCAGATGTCTTTCCTACTAGGAAGAACACATCAGCGCGAGGTCAATTACTATGACTGTGGGTCAAAACCGGGGCACCTGGGTTGAGACTACGGGAGGTCAACCTACCAGGGTGGGGCCTTCGGGTCGTTTGGCGTTCTTCGGGCTTGGCCGTTTCGCCGAGCTCGCCTTGAAGAGGACCGATGCCGATCTCCCAAAAAACACTCGCCAGGGACCAATCAACCGTGATCGACCAAGACTCGACCAAGGGGGATCATTGATCAGATAGATGTACTGTCAGTGATACTGATGGAACGCAGATCCAAAAGAGTCATAGCCTCTGCCCCCAAATCTGTTCGTCACACACATTCCCAATACCGGTGGCATTATTTTTGGGTGGTGATGGATTCTTTAGATTCTTTGGATTGTTCATCAAGACAGTCACAAACTACAGAGAGGACGGACCGGTGACAAGGTACATGGCTGCAGAGCGGCTGAAGGCTGCAGCATCAGCGCTCCTGTTGGCTCTGGAGTCCCGTCAAGGCTTTGGATGGCCCAATGAGTCAAGAGGTGCTTTCGTATGGTCATGGCTAGCCTGAGGCTTGTGTGGCGATGTTTCTTTTAACACTCCAAGCTCATGATTGCTTTTCCACTGTTTAGATCTAACTGGGACATGCTTCTGAATTCTTTTCTCATTGCTGCTTTGAATATATCCTTCCAAGAAGTGCCCAAAAACCAAACAGAAACCTTGAACATGGACCCCCTACAACCCAGTAGTTTTCAGGGTCTAGGGAGGGTAGGCCAAAGATTGGTGTGCATAGATTCCTTGCGTGCAGGGAACGAGGCTGCCCTGCGTGCAACTCTCTGCGAGCAGGCAACTTTGCTGTGCGCTCTTCGGTATGAGATGATCTAGCTACTGCCGGACAATCTGCCAGGTGTTGCGCACTGTACTAGGCTTTCCAGGCTTCTCAAACACTTCCTGGTTTAGATGTATTGTGAACACTTGTCAATGATGTTGAATTCAACTTAACAATGGGCTGAGCGGCTAAGCTCCTCTTGTTCGGCCTTCATGCTCTGAGAATGTCAGGCCCGTGCTGTGTGTGTGGAGGCAAGACCACTGTACTGGCTGACCTGGGAGCTGTTGTCATCCTTTGTGCATCTTTGTCGTAACACTGGAGCAGTTATGGCACGGCCATACATTTTTGCATATTTGGATTATTTGGACCTGTTTCGACCATGTCTTTTGCAGGTCTATGATGTGTTTGGGTCTGAAAATTACCAGTTTCATTCACATGGAAAGCCACCTTTGACCTTGCTTTTTCGGTGACGAAACGGTCTCTTGAGGGTCGGTTTCTTTTGACGGTCGATGCCTTGCGTTTTGTCCTCAAGCTCTGGGGTTCATAGGGGATGCCCGGCTGCCTCACGTGCGGGAGGGCTTGCTTCCTCGATCCCTCTGGGCATTGCAGGGCGTGTACAGCGCTGAAGAGGCTTGGAGGAGAACTTCGCTTCGTTCCAATCAGTGAGTTTGACGCAGGATTGACCGTGTACACGCTCGAGAGAGAGCTTTGCGGACGACTGAGTACCTGAGGGACGCTGCGCACGCTCAGGCAGAGCGAGCTGAACATGACCAACAAGCTAGCAACTTGGGACTGTCTTCAAGCTGGAGGTCAAAGGTGACCGAAGAACCAGTTCAGGCAGCCGGATGAGACCAAGAGAAGGTGCAGAGGCTGAGAACGAGGGCTTTGGCCACTTCGAGATTAGAGATCAGGAGCGATGGTGTTGGATGCAGCGCAGGTAGGAGTAGTCCTGATCACCGAGTGGAAGGTGTTGGCATCGAAGCTCCGCTCTTCGTCATGAGCCAGTGGGTGAACTCGGACGGAAGCATCAGTGCCACCACTGTGTCCTTTAGGGACACGAGACTTTCACCACCCTCAAAAACGAAGACCCAGACTCTGACTCACTGACATGGTTCAGATTTGTATGGCCTCCAACTTCGAGGAGGCCGGCAACTACTTGTGACTTGTGTCATATCATATTCGAGAGCTGCGCGCTGTAGCAGCGAGATTTGGACAGAGGGTTGTGGGTCACTCAGGGTTCAAGGGTTGGGCTCAAGTTTGCACGCGGTATTTGGAGATTGACGTGAACGAGCAGGTGAGCACCCGTACAGGACCTTAATCAAAGCGTACTTGACGGACAACGAAGTGGCTGGCATCACAGACTAGGTTTTCTCTTTGCCGAGAATGTTTGTTCAGTGGACAGGGAAGCTGGTGATTACAGGGTAGATAGCGAAGACATTGCCCCTATTTACCCCCTTATCAATACCGGGACTGCTGCATTCTTGACAAGGTTGAGACGCTTGGCCTGTCAACGCCGACGAACAAGAACAACTCCTGGAGTCACGCGCTTCAGTTGTGAGTGCTTCATCTGCAAAGACAGCCGCAGGGGCTACGAAGAAGCGCGGGTCCCTTCTTGGCGACAGTTTGGTGTGTTTTCTGCGAATGCCTGTAGAAAAAGGGTGCCGCGTCCACCGTCGACCGGTGGAGCGTTCCAATGTGGATACGCTGAAAGACTTTGGCCGGGAGCGCTCTCACGCATCACCAGAAAAAGTGGGATATAGGAGGACCCCAACCTTTTGGATCCTCGCCGACCGATTCTTCCGAGGCCCCACGAGGGAGAGCGTAATGGAAATTTTGGATCACTACGGGGTTGCTGCAAACCCAAAGGTTTTTCCGCCTTCAATTTTTTTTGGCGGCGCATCGCTGTAGCTCATAGCTCAACATCAACAGGCGAGCGTGCGTGTACCAACTTCTTAGAGAGGATAGGCACCATCCTTCGCTCAAGTAACGCGTCAGTTGGAGTTGGAAGCAGTGTATAAAGCAAAGGACGACAACGTGTGGCGAGGAAAGCGAACGCCTAGACGCCTAGTTACCCAATTGCAACTTTTACTCATGAACTGCCACGTTGACTCCATGGAGAATCCGACACATCATACTTCACGGCGTCAAAGGCAGAGGAACTGCTGGGAGACGGGCAGAGGGACAATGGCAGAGGCTGTGGATGCGGTTCATTGCCGGTCTAAATTTGACGTGGAGGTTGTAGAAAACAAGCGTCGGGGATGGCGTGGGTCAGATGGGGTTCCGCCCCTACTACAGTTACTACAGCTTACGTAGGGGTGGTGCCACCTCGCTCCACAGACAAGGATGCTTACTGAATCTGTCTTGGTTTCGGGAAGATGGAAGCCAACCAGTAGTGCACGAGGCCATGTGCATGACGGCCGCTCCATTTCACCCCTAACGCTGACTGAGCTCTCTTTGTTTCCCAACGAGTTTCCCGCGTTCTTTTGCGCTTGAATGCTGGCCCGCAACCAATCTGAAGCGCCCAACAGTTCGAATGAGTTCTTGACATGAAATGGATGAAAGAAGGGCGAGGAAAGGCCATGCCGCATTGGCTCCCAAGCTGGCGAGCAAAGGAAAGACTTCTGCCTTTGCTTTTGAACGCTGGCCAGCAAACGATTTGAAGCGCCCAACAGTCCTGCCACATGGACTGAATGAGCTCTTGAAAGAAGGGTGTGAATGTTTAGAGAGCTGACGCCAGTCATCAAATGCAATCCTTGCCTTGCTCACAGAAACTACCAAAAGAGGTTACCATTCTTCTGGGGTGAGGAGTTCAAGGATCCACGAGTGGTCACTGAGCCCCTGGATTAACATTTTGCAAATATTGATAGATCGCAAGACCCAAAAGTGACAAAGAGTGAAATATGAAAAGGCGCTGCTGGAAAGGGGCGCGGACGAAACAGAACAAATAGAAAATATGCCCAGAGGAAAAAATCGCACAATATTGCGTTTGATTGCGCTGCAAGAATACTAATTGAAATTAATAAGCAGGTGGTGTGAGGAGTTGAGCAGGGGTCATTCTCTGACAGACAGAGCCTTCTCATTACTGTAATGAAAAAATGTGCCTGGTAGTCGCCCCTATTTACTTTAAACAAACTATAGACAATAATTGATTGGACCCTAAGTATGGTTTCAATTTACGCTCGCAATATAGGTGGCGAGGAGTCCGATCGATAGTTGTTTTTAATCGAGGGGTCCCTGGGGGACTCTTTGCATTAGTGGAGGAATGTGGAGGGAATATGTAAAAAGGATACCGTTATTTGTTCACACAAAAGGGTTGGAAACTAATCGCGGCAAATTGGAACGGTTATATATATACATTTTTTAGTTTGAAACTTTCTGTGGTTTGAGACAACAAACTGTTTTGGAGCGGTCACCTTCCACAACTAACGAAGCAGAATGAAAGCGTCATTCACTTGTAGACCTCTCGTCATCTCCGCAGGCCCGAAGCGGCCTTGGCCGACCACCCCCACGGGTCACGGCCAGCGGATCGGAGGATGACGTTGATGTGCCAGTTCTTGAAGGTGTTGCCGGGAAGCCACCAAGGCCGGTGTGACTCTTATGATTCCTTAAAAACAACCGATGCATTTAATGTCGACCTCTGATAATAAACAGTGGCACCTATAAAGAACATTTACGAGAAGGTTTCTGAGTTTTGGTGATTTCAAGCAAGCAAATGAAGAAGGAAGGACTGAAACAGGAACCAAAGAGGGAACCAACTAAGAAGAAAGACATGACATGTTCAAACAGCAAACGTTCAAGGATGTTTCCCGATCATTAGGGTACTGTACACTTTATTTAGGGTACGATGGCTTCATGGGGGGCACTCTTTCCAGAGTGGTTTTGGTCAATTGCTGATGGTTTTGAAAAGGGATTTATAAAGAATTTTCATCAGCAGGTTTTGGGGTTTGGTGATTCTAAGTGATGAAATGAAGAAGAGAGGAGGCCAGCAGGTATCCAGAAGAATACAGCCATGAAAGGCACCAACACTAAATAAAGCTTGTTAAGGGACTTTTGGGCAGAGGAAAGGCTTGCGAGTTTTTAGGGTACACGTTATTCAGGGTATGGTGGCTTCAATGGGGGGCACCCTTCCCAGAGTGGTCTTGGTCAATTGTTGATCATTTTTGAAGAAGGCTTTTATAAAGACTTGAGATGAACAATAATTTGTATTGGCAAGAGGTTACTGGAATTGAGATGAGAGGGCATTTGTGTTTGGAAGAGGTTCCTAGACTTGAGTTGAAAGGAACATGAAAGGGATCAAGCTACATGATTCTTGATTCAGGAAAGCCTGCAGCTTTATTTAGGGTTATTTAGGGCATGGTGGCATCAGGGGAATTTTTTCCTTTTTAATATTGGGGAAATTCTTAACCAATTATTGTCGCAGGGCGGAGTTCAGGAAAGTTCTTTAGCTTTATTTAGGGTAAACTCTAGGGTATGGTGGCTTCATGAGGAATACTCTTCCAGAGTGGTTTTGATCAATGTTTCATTGGCTTTAAATGAAGGAATTTATACAGAATTGTTGTCCGAAGGTTTTGTGGAAGGATTTGAAGACGGAATTCCCAGAAGCAATCTGTTAACAAAGGAATGAACAGACCTAAACACTAATTAAATCAAGTTCAATTTTATGAGACAAGAACCATGTTTAGCTCTTTTTAGGGCGGTATGGTGGCTTCTGGAAAATTCTTTAGTTTTTTTAGCGCACACTCTATTTAGTTGTTTAAAACTGTTGTTTGTAATCGATGTGTGTCCAATGTGTGTGTGTGTCAAGCCCTGTCTCGAAGGGTCTTTTCCACCACGTGATACCGCAGGGGCGTGTGGCCTTCTTGTCCTACCACACGCAACGAAGCTGTGGACAAGAAGGGGAAGCAGGGACTGATCATCCCTGTGTACCTGCTGAACTTTTGACCACGCTGTCTAATTTGCTTTGTTTGATTCCATGGTTCTTCATGCTACCACCCCCAAACCCTTTCCCACCGCAGACTTGCAGCCGCTTTGCAGCCGCGCTTGTGTGTCCGATTGCAAACATTGTTCAACCATACGGTTCTCGCCGACCTCTCCACCTTGCCGTTCCATCACCTTTTTTCCTGGAAATTGAGTTAACTGAAAACCAATGTCGAAGTGTGAGCCGCTCAGCCGTCCCACGTGGGTGCTGGGTGTGATCCTCCGCAAGGAGGCGCCGTTTACATGGCGGAAATTGAGCCACTGAATCATCTTCCTTTCATTGACTTTTCCTCGATCTTTCTCTACCCTGAATTCACTGCTCATACAGCCGTCGGGCTATAAAACGAATTTGCCAGCCGCTGGGCTTAAAAACGACTTTTTCCTCCCTCCTCCCCCCCCCCC